TAGTGGGTAAAGATAGATGTATGAAATTATTAATTAATTATTTTTTTTACAAACCTACATGTGTAGAAAAAATGTTCTATTTACATCAACAGAGGGAGCTAAAAGGCAGCATAAGGGAAATAAACAAAGACTAAATAAAAGTCTCTCCAACCAGAATTAATTTTATTAAATAGAAATAACAACCTTATATATCACCACTTCTCTGCTTTGCTAAAATAGTAATGATAAATAGTAAAAAGACTGTAAAACTAATGGCAAAATAAATGTCTTATAGAGTTGTGTGTTTTATGGCTCATACTACTACTACTACTACTACTAATAATAATAATAATAATAATAATTTTAATTGATAGTCACATTTTAGCCATTTGAATAACTGGTTTAGTATGTGGTCACACTACCTCATTATATCAGCTGCTGACTAATTGATTAAAATGATCAAATAAGATATATTTGTTGATGTCATGTTATTAATTTATAATATATTTTGTTCTAATGTTCATGTCTTAGAAGTTTATTTGCTCCACATAACTTAGATGTGATTTTGTGCAGTTTAAACAGTTGCAGTCAATCTTAATGAACACATCTGAAACGACTAAAAGCTCAGCCACTCCTGATGCTTCAGGAACACTACCACGCATGTTTTTAAAAAAATGTGTCAATGGTTTACCACGTTAGACTCAAGGGAATGAAATACCTCAACAGTTTGTTAACAAATCTCGTGAGCACTTGGTAATGTCATATTAATTAAAACTGGGTGTGGTGATAGGGAAACATCTCGCATGCATGGCAGTCGGTCCAGAGGACCAAAACTAGGAAACATCTGTAAAGTAAACCATCAATTCTCAAGGTCCAGACCTGAGACTGGATCTGGACCAAACAACAAATCAATCTGGACTCAAACATCAAATGTGAGGCAGTCATTATCAGCTAGACTTTTAGCAACAAACAATCTGTGCAGGTATAATATAGTTAAAATGGTTCATGTTAAATCCTGCTAAAATTCACCATCTGCTGGTCAAAAGTTCATTTATTCATTCAACCTTTATTTATACAGGTTAATCCCATTGAGCCTCGAGGACTCAATTACAAGAGAGACCTGTCCGATATTAGCTATTAGCCATTCCTTTAACAAGGTTTATTAAAGGGATCTCCAACTACACCATACCATACCATACTAAACCATACCATACTATACTAAACTATACCATACCATACTAAACCATAACATACTAAACCATACCATACTAAACCATACCATACTAAACCATACCATACCATACTAAACTATAACATACTAAACCATACCATACTATACTAAACCATACCATACCATACTAAACCATACCATACCATACTAA